TCATTACTCCAGGACATGCAAGGGCTCGTCAGATTACGTTAGTTTAATGTTAGATTACTTTACGTTTGGTTGGGGCTGGCTTAAGTTACAAAAGAATACATTATGCTAAGGCTAGATTAGGCTGAGTCAGACCATAATATATTAGACCAAATAGAATTCCCCTCTACGACCATGATAAAAAGAGTCATGGCGCCTGGCTCACCCACACAGCCACCCGCACTAACGCAGCAGATATCGAAGGTGGCTCTGTTTGGAGTCAAGAGTCGCACAATGCCGCTCGCCTCATAAAAGACACAATAAAATGGCTGGATTAGTCTCTTTATGGCTGACAGACTGACTTCATGACGTGTGGCTGTTATGGCTGCCGACACACTCCATGTCTGCATAGCTTGGTGCAGTGGCGGGGGTCGAGGGCTGTAGGAGGGAGGGCGGTTGGGTGGGTGGGCGGGCAGCAGGAAGAAAAAGGAGGGATAGTGAGAGTTGGTCTTCCTACTACTACTACTACTACTAATAATAATAATAATAATAATAATAATAATAATAATGTTTCGCCTGTCACCACCACCACCATTACTACTACCATCTCCACAACCACTACCACCACCACATCTTGAACCTCTGTTGTAATAGACAGCGTTTAATATTAAGTTAGGTTCCCTGTGGGCTGTACTAATGGTTCTTACTAGTCTCTCTCGCTCTCTCTCTTTCTCTCTCCTTACTCTTGAACACACGATTATTCTACACTGAAATAGTAACAAAAGCTCCTTAAGGGGTTGTTAAGTCTTACTCCCCATGGGTGCGTTCAGTGGAGTAGTAATTTTATTTTATTTCCGTTTACAGTATTTGATGATGAGGCCATTATTGTTGATTCTTTTAATAAGGATCGGTAACTAGAGCAGAGGAAGTTGAGGACTTTATATATATATATATATATATATATATATATATATATATATATATATATATATATATATATATATATATATATATATATATATATCATATGCACGCAGTTCTCCCTCCTACACACGCACACCACATATAGTCTCATAGTGGTAAAGCCTTCACAGTTATCACACTCTTACACTGCACTAATTACCTCTCGTAAACGAGCGCCAGGCGACTTAATTTATAGGTACAGAGTATCTTAAAGCCTCGCCCAGTGCCGACTGTGACCTCAGACTGGAGTTTGTATCTTACATTGAGCGTCATTACTGGCTGGGGAGGACAATGGACCGCTACACGTAGTGGCCGGCGTAACTTTGATAATAGTCTTTACATGGAAGGGTGGATTAGGGTACGCCAGGCGCTGCTGAGTGCTCCCGTTGGTGTTGTTTTACTGATGCGTTGGCTAATTTCTTGTACCTCAAAGTGAGCGTCCGTCCAGGCAAAAAGGTGGGAGAAAGACTCTCTGACGTTGCTTTCATGAGAGTGTTATTTGTGGATAATGGTCATCACCCTTAATCTCTCTCTCTCTACAAGCACCTCCATCACCAACCAAGCAGCTCTGGTGGGCAAACGACCGTCTGGCGTAGCTTCTATATATATATTCTATATTTACAGAAAACTGGAGTCAACGCCAGTGTTAAGCTTACACCATCACCACCACCATCACCACCCTCACCACCATCATCACCATCTAACTCAAACACCCTATAGTAATATCCGGTAAATAAAAGACACACACTCATATAGACGTGGACTCACCTCTTAACTGTAAACTTAATCTCACTTTGTGTGCTGTACTGTAACACATGACACACACATATCAAGCCACGGTATCAGAGACGTCATTTGCGTGTTAGGGAGCCATGACTTCCCGGTGTGTTGGCGGTGTTCCTTGTTTACTGGCCCATGAACCTGGGTGTTGGAGATTACGTCGTCGTGCGTAGCTGACTGTATAGTATATTCTGAGTACTGAGTCTACTGTTATTATTATTATTATTATTATTATTGTTATTATTATTATTATTATTATTATTATTATTATTATTATTGTTATTATTATTATTATTATTATTATTATTATTATTATTATTATTATTATTATTATTATTATTATTATTATTATTATTATTATTATTATTATTATTAGTATTAGTATTATTAGTGTTATTATTATTATTATTATTATTATTATTATTATTATTAATTATTATTATTATTATTATTATTATTATTATTATTATTATTATTATTATTATTATTATTATTATTATTAGTATTAAGTATTAATTATTATTCGTTATTATTATTATTATTATTATTATTATTATTATTATTATTATTATTATTATTATTATTATTGTTAGTAGTATTATTATTATTATTGTTATTATTATTATTATTATTGTTATTATTATTATTATTATTATTATTATTATTATTATTATTATTATTATTATTATTATTATTATTATTATTATTATTATTATTATTATTATTATTATTATTATTATTATTATTATTATTATTATTATTATTATTATTATTATTATTATTAGTATTAGTATTATTAGTGTTATTATTATTATTATTATGATTATTATTAGTATTAGTAGTTGTAGTAGTATTAGTATTAGTATTAATTTCATTGTTTTAACTATCATTACTATTACTGCTATTATCATTAGTGGTAGGTTTCATAGTACTAGTAGTAGTAACAGAAGCAACAGTATTAATAATAGTAATAATAGCAGTAGTAACAGTAACACCATCATCATAACACACACACACACACACACACACACACACACACACACACACACACACACACACACACACACACACACACACGTCTTGCCTCCATCATCAACTTTAAACGACACACATAACACAGATCCTTATTATATAAAAAAATAATAATAACAATAATACGCTCCACCAGATGTGATTTTAATAATTAATATTTTACTTCATCAAAAACCATCCATTAGTAAGGCCTTTTGATGACAATAAGTTTATGTAAAAATGTAAACACGAGTTACACAATGAGTTTATTGTTCTGATGACACGAGGAAAAATATAGGTGGGTGAGGGAGGGTGAGGGAGGTGAGGGGAGGTGAGGCGATTTCGGTGTGTGTGTGTGTGTGTGTGTGTGTGTGTGCATGTGTGTGTGTGTGTGTGTGTGTTCTACTGGCACCCTATCTATTCACCATTCTTTTAGGATCTGAAATTGTCACTTTGTCGATAAATTTAATTAGTCACCACTGGTTCTTGGGGTGGGGGTTAAGGGGAGGTGAGGGGAGGTGAGAGGGAGGTTGGGGGAGAGAGGGAGGCCAGGAGGTTGGGGAGGTGGGAGTTGAGGGAGAGTGGGGAGGTGAGGAGGGAGGGGAGTTGAGGGAGAGGGAAGGTGGGGGAGTTGAGGGAGAGAGTGGGGGAGTTGGTGGTAGAGTATGAGAGTTGAAGGTTGAGGGAGTTTAGGAGAGGAGTTGAGGGAATGGGGGAGTTGAGGAGAATGTGTGTGTGTGTGTGTGGTATTGACGATGCCAATGGATAGTCGTGGCTGGTGACTCTTTTAGCACTGAACGTATGAAGAGCAGGAAGTTTGTTCATTTTTATTATCTTTTTAATCTATTTATCTCATAGTTGTCATTATTTTTTTGTTATCACCATTGTGAATTAAAGCACACCACACACACACACACACACACACACACACACACACACACACCTCTCTATATATTCATCTCTTCCTCCCACACCTTTTCCTCACACTGCTTTCGCTCCCTCCTCCTCTTTTCCCCTCATTTCCTCCCTCTCTCCCTTCATCTTCCCATCCTTCCTCCCCTCCCCTCATCCACCTGCATGGTCCCCTCTCAACTTCCTCCTGGCCTCTATTCCCCCTACCTCCTCATCTCTTCCTTCTACCCTCTCATTCCCCCTCCTTCCCTTAGTCTCCCCCCCTACCTCTCTCAGCTCCCACTTTCCTTCCCTGCCTCCCTCCCCTCTGAATGCAAGCCGTAGTTAGAGAAAAGTAAACTCTCACACAAGAGTAATAACTTGGCAAGTTTTAATGAAGGCTTAAGTTTGGGGAATGTAAGACCCATCCTATTTCTTCTTTCTTCTTCTTCTTTCTTCTTCTTCTTCTTCTTCTTCTTCTTCTTCTTCTTCTTCTTCTTCTTCTTCTTCTTCTTCTTCTTCTTCTTCTTCTTCTTCTTCTTCTTCTTATTCGTCTTCCTTTTCTCCTTGTTTCTTTTTATCGTAGTGTATCTTGTATTTTCTTGTTTTTCATCTTGTTTTTCATTTTTTTTCCTTCGTCTTCAGTAAATTAAATTGGAATATTAACCAGATATGAGAGACTTTGAGGGATTGGACGTGAAATTACAATCTAGTCGCGGTCGGTGATTCGGTATTCTTGTAGTGAAGTGTTAGATTAGTGATGGTTGAGGGGTGATGTCCTTGCCTCACGAGACTGCTGCGTGAGGAGATGCTGTGATATCGTAATTAGTGAGTGTTGTTGTGAGGTGTTTGGCTGTGTGTGTATTTAACTGTGTTATGTTGTGTTATATTGTATTTTGGCAAGTTTCTCTTATACAGAATACTATATATCAACTAAACTATTTCTATTTATTTGTAAATATATATTGAAAACATAAATTTAGAACTGTCTTTTATTTAACTCTTCCAGAAATAAAAATACAGACTTGATCGTTTCTCACAGACGTCAGCCATCGGGGAACAACTTTAGTGTTATGTTGAAAAGTGCAATATCAGTCTCATGCGCCTCGGTCAAGCTGTCTGCAATTTTAAACATGACATCATACGTAAAAGTGTGAACGCGCTTGGAAGAGTTGAAAAGTTAAAATTTTTGTTTACGAAGTTTGATAAAAGTTCAACACTGCTGATGTATTATTCAGTGACGCGGAATATTTCGATATTCTACGTTATTAATATTATTATTATTATTATTATTATTATTATTATTTTATTATATATACAGTCCTGTTTACATACATCATCAGTACATAGATACTCACCATGTACTCTCTCTCTTACAGGGTCGTGGGGGGTGTGTTGGTCTGAACGAGGGTGTGGTCTGGGCACTGAGGAACGTAATGTGTGGTGTGGTGACGCCCAGGGACGCCCACTGCCGCCCACACTCTGCAGACATCACGACAGACCCCCTAATTCACGCACCTGTTACTCGACTTGTACAGGTAAGTGTTAATTAGAACCAATATCTGTTAATTTAGTGTTCCCATTGAAGTCAATTTCGTCATGAAGCTCAAACACCTGTTGCTCTTGGTGTACAGGTGAGTCCCTTTCCTTCCTCTACCCCGGACGCGTGTAGCTTTTATCTCCACAAGAACTTCCTTCGCTCAAGAGTCGTGTTAGATCTGGTAACTTGTCTCTATCAGTTAACAATACATTCTTAAACACTGTGAACTATAGAGGCCTTTGGATACAATAACATGTAAACATAAGTACAATATACAACTACAATGAAAAGTGAACACACACACACACACACACACACACACACACACACACACACACACACACACACACACACACACACACACACACACACACACACACACACACACACACACACAACTCCTGATTTATGGACTGTACAGCCCTGTAAATGTATTCAATGCATATTATATCATTATATCTAAATCAAATGTAAGTCTGTATATTTTCAGCCACCGGCTGCAACTCTGTTAATAAACCGTTTATTATTATTATTATTATTATTATTACACACACGTATGCACAAGCACTGATAACACAAAGTAAATAGAGAAAAAATACAGACTGAATTAAAATCACGTATATACAGGCTAAACTATGCTATTGACAGAAGGGTCTTGCAGAAAGCCACTCAACTAATAAGCGAGCTTGATAGATAGCCCGCTGTGTGTGTGTGTGTGTGTGTGTGTGTGTGTGATAATGTGTATGTGTGTGTGTGTGTGTGTGTGTGCGTGGCTCTTGCCCTTCTCAGCAGATTTAGGAAGAAATTAAATGTTTCCTTAAATCACTCGCCATTTTTTTAGGAAGAGATTAGGTTATGCGTCTTAACATGTATATAAGCTAGCGATAAACCTGTCTAAAATTTGAGTTAAAACATAAGGTTTACAGTATGTGTTAGAGATAGAGGCTATGATGAGGCTACTATGTGTTAGGGGAAGATAGGGGCTATGATTAAGGAAGCTACTATGTGTTAGAGAAGATAGAAATTTTATGATGAGGCTACTATGTGTTGGGAAGATAGGGGCTATGATGAGGCTACTATGTGTTAGAGAAGATAGGGGCTATGATGAGGCTACTATGTGTTAGGGAAGATAGGGGCTATGATGAGGCTACTATGTGTTAGGGAAGATAGGGGCTATGATGAGTCTACGTTTGTTATTTAGGTATTAAGAATTTAAGAATTGGGGAATATTAACTTTTAAGATTTTAATTTTATGGGAATTTTAGGAACTTAAGCATTTCAGTATTTATTGCGTTAGATCTTTAAATTTAGGGATTTCTGCTTGTTGATGTTAAAGGACTTTGAAATTAATTATTTTGGGGTTTAATAAAATTTTTGGAATTTAAGATTTAGGTATTTTAATATATTTTTTTTAGGGAATCAATTTGTAAGGATTTATTTAAGACAAGTTTACAAAAAAAAAAAAAAAATCATGTGTGTAAATTAAACCCGTTCAGTACACTGTAAATCACGCTAAATATGAAGATTTTACTACACAAGGAGGCAGCAAGACCCACATTACCTTCAACCATCTTCACTTTCCCATCTCTCTTTTTCTCTGTCTATATCGCTCTCTGTCTCTCTCCCTCTCTGTCTGTCTTTCTTTTCTCTCTCTCTCTCTCTCTCTCTCTCTCTCTCTCTCTCTCTCTCTCTCTCTCTCTCTCTCTCTCTCTCTCTCTCTCTCTCTTTCTCTCTATCTCTAAACAATGCAGAGAGGTTGTGGTGAGTAGTCAGACTCTCCAATGTAACATTTCCCAGATCTGACGAATAACATGAGAGGTCATTAAGGGATCATTTTGTGATGAGAATGTCTCTTTGTGTCTCTCTTTATGTGTGTGAGACAGTCAGAGATACGCCAAGGAGACACTTTAAGAGATCAGAGGATGAGAGACCTTTCTGAATAAACCCCCTTTGTTGATTTGACGTGGACCTCTTGTCTCTAAAGCGAGATAGTCAGCCACACATCCCGAGGAGTCACTTTCCTCACGAGATGACAGTATGAGAGACGTTTTATGGCTCCCCCACAAAGAGAGAGAGAGAGAGAGGATGATATGAAACTTTTAATTACCTTCTAAACACACACACACACACACACACAGACACACACGGGAGCGCGCACACACACACAGTCTTAGGAAACAGAATAAGTGATGAGAGATTTCAGCTCCCAAGGGGGGGGGGGACACCGTGAGAAATCCATTACGTGACAAGATAGAACAAAGACGGGGTGGTCTTTACCGAGATGAGAGACCTTTCATGTCTCAAACAAAGAAAGAGAGAGACAGAGAATAAAATCATGTTATTAGACACAGTTTAGGGATGAGATGTAGAGATACTTAAAGAAATATAAGAAAAAATAATCCAACTCCTGGGAGATACCGAAGAGGTAAGGTTGGGAGATGAGAGAGAGAGAGAGAGAGAGAGAGAGAGAGAGAGAGAGAGAGAGAGAGATAATCCTGCTTCTGCCACAGTAATTGGCCGGACACAGCTTTGATCACTCAGTCTCTTGAACTAATTGCGAGATGCTTTTGAGAGATGACAGTAGAGACGTCAAGTGGGGATAAGTCTGAAATTAACTCAGGTCATTAATGTGTGTGTGTGTGTGTGTGTGTGTGTGTGTGTACAATAATAATAATAACAATTAACGGTTTATTGAATGAGCATGGTTGCTGGAAGGCTGAAAATATACAGTTACATAAATGGGGAATGAGTCTCTTGATTGACAAATAGTATACAAGTAACAAAAATGATACAAATATGATATATAATAACAAGGTGGGGAGAAGCTCAAACTACAGGACATTTCAACATAGTGACAGTGCAAGAAGGTAAGATTGGCTGGGAGTGAACACACTGGTTGACTACGAGTTGTTGATAATTTTTACAATGGTTGGGACTGGGCTGTTCTTACAGCGATTTGTACGTGCTCGTATGGGCTGGGTGCGGTTGTGGTGTCGAGCAGCAATTTGCGGACGAGGGATCTCGGGTGGTAGTGGGAGCCGGTGTCAAGGATGGTGCAGAAGCTTTTCCCCAAATTTGCAGATGAGGTCGTGGTGGTGATCAGAGAGAGCCGAGGGGGTCAGTGTGTTAAGCGCTTCTTGATATGTGGAGTAGGAAGGGGAGAGAATTATCTTGTATTTTTTCTAGTTGTTAACGTTTGTGTGTGTGTGTGTGTGTGTGTGTGTGTGTGTGTGTGTGCTTATATATGTGCGTGTCAGAGTACTCCCACAACACTTTCTCATCATTAAAGTCACTACCACTACGATCGACACCACATCTCACCACCACCACCACCACCACCACACCTCACCACCACCACTGCTATACTCCTCTCCCCCATAACTAACTCCGACATGTTCTTCCATTCCCTGTACTCTGTCTCCTGTGCATCACGTATCATTAATCACTTTCCCCACTATTTTGTTTTTCACTGTACATTGTCCTAGCACAAGTACAGAGGTCTATTCAAGTACTAGTTAGTATAGTAGCCTGTGTCTATACCAAATTGGCGTCTATACATTGCGTTAGTGGACTGTATTTTTTTGTATTTTGTATTTTGAGAATGCATTGTTTTTGTAACCAATTGGACTGGTGTATTATGATGTAGTTTATGTGTTGTGTGTGTAATTGGACCCCGTTGTATTATGGTGTATTATAGTTATTTGTTTATGTATTCAAGTTGTGTAAGGATAAAGTGAATTTTTTTGTATTCCTTTGCAAATTATATTATGGTGTGTAATGCTGTTGAAATTGATTGGTTTTCCATCTACATCTTTTTCAATTTATTTATCTATCCACTAATCAACTTATTCAATTCATTTAACGATCAATCTCTATTTACGTAACATATCATAATAGCGGTATTGTCTTTTATTAAATTACATTCAAATATAAAGAAGGTGTTTCAGCCTTTATATAAACACACAAGTATTTTAATAGACTTCAGAAAAAAAATGTACTCGTTGTATTGCGTCCAAGTGGTGTTTAGATCGTGATACAATATATATTTTTTATCGTAAATTACAATAAGTATCTCAGGTATTCCACCATTTAAGGTATATCCTGTGAGAAAGGAATGGTGAAAATGAGCTCAGCTGTTGTTTTTTTTTTAGAATGTATCCATGAAGAACTGATCTATGGTAGGATTTTATTCTTTACTGATTAATAGTGAAAAGTAGCATTTTTTATTGTTTTTTTTTGGCGTAAAATTATATATCTACGAGAAAAGGGAATTATAGAGAAAATTATTCTCTTTATGCGAAAAAAATATACGAGGAAAAAAATAGTGAAAATAATTTTTTTTGTTATACTCTGTGAAATTATAGACGAGAAGAATATTAAAGCGAGAAATAATCTTCCTCTCTTTCTATGCTAAAATAAACGAAAAGAAAAATACAGTGAGAAATATTCGTCTTTCTGTGACCATCCTTACAAAGAAAGCGAACAGGACAACAAAAAATAAAATAAAATAAATAAATAAATAAAAAATCCTTCCATCGTTGTGTCAAGAAAAAAATAGGTAAATAATAAATACTCTCAAAATTAACCTAATTACCGTCCTGACCTCTTAATGAAATCAATTACCTATAATCCGGTTAACGGCGCTCAATGTGGATTAAACCAATTGTGTTTTTCTTCGGGTTTAACAGAGTTAGTGGACGTGTCACTCCCCAGACGACGATCAACAGATAAAGTTCACTCGAGCTTGGAGTGAATTGGCGCTGTTGGCTGTAAATTGACGGGTGATGCTGTACTTTGCTGCACTTGAAACAATATTATCGTCCTATGAAAATGCTATAATTGGCTGTATTCCAAGCACAAATATCGTCTAATCAGAAATACTGTGCTTAAGTGGCTCTCTCTCTCTCTCTCTCTCTCTCTCTCTCTCTCTCTCTCTCTCTCTCTCTCTCTCTCTCTCTCTCTCTCTCTCTCTCTCTCTCTCCCACCCAGTTCATGTTT